GACTTTGTCACACACTAGCTGGCCCTGCGGCTCGGTGGCATCTGGAGGCAGGAGAGCCAGGTACACGGGGGTCTCGGCCCCCTCCTCCGCTGTCCTTTCCCCATAAGGCCCGGCCATGTCCGTCTTCACCCACCCGGGGCAGCAGGCATTCAGCAGAATCCGGTCCGCTGTTCTCTTCTCATCCAGACGCCGGGCCAGGATTCTCGACAACACGGTGACCCCCAACTTGGACACCCCGTAAGCTGAGCTGGGCCAGCCTTCCCTCTCATGCACTTCATTTCTGGCATCCTCCACAAACTTCTTCATAAGGTCCACCAGGTCCTCCTCGGTGAGGGTCTCGGCGCGGAATTTCTCCTGCAGCTCTTCACTGCAGTTTTCAAGAGCTTTTGACCCCTGAGAACTGCTGATATTCACAACTCTGCCTGAAACAGATGATGAGAAATACGTGGAAGCCAGTGAGCCAGGAGCTGCTGTGGGCTGCGGACAGCAGACACGTGGCGGGCGGGTTTAATTGCTAATAATAAAGACTGGCAGGCACCAATGGGTCTGGACATGTTTTTGCCACCTGCATTTTTTTTTAAGATTTATTTATTTATGTATGCAGAACTGGGGTACAGGCCAGAGGTACAGGGGCGGTGAGAGGATTCTCACTCACCAGAGACAGAGCAGGCAGAACAGGGAGATCCATGAAGTCCACTGCTGAGGGGAGCAGCAGCGAGTCAGGAGAGGTCTGCCGCGCCCTGTGGGTCACCTCCGGGGCAGGGGGTCGAACTGGTGCTGAAGCAGCTGCAGCCAGCTTCTAGTGCTTTGCTTTAACCCATTGTGCCACCAGAGAGGGCCCTGGGCTGATTTTCTCAGGATTTGATTCACTTCAGTATTTTGCCAGGGCTACCCCATCCAGGTGGGGCTGAATTCTTCAGTCCTTTCTAAACAGTTTTGTTCTCAATTACTTAGCTGTTACAACAAATTATATTTAAAAAGAAAAGGGAAAAGCTATGAATCTCCTTTATGCCTGCGGTGGAAAATAAAAACTTCCTAAAGAAATGCCCTGTTTGAGCCCAGGGCACACCTCTGGGAAAGAGGCCCTCCAGGTGGGTCCCAACGCCCATGAATTATGGGAAAGGTGAGCATGTAGCACCCCCTAGTGGTTGGACCATGTATCTGTTTGCTCAGAGTTAGGGAAGTTGCAAGCTCAGTAACTTGCATTAAATTGATCTCAAAAAGCTGAATAGGGGGTCGCAAGGGGTTAAAGTGCAGCACTAAGAAGCTGTTTGCAGTCACTGCAGAACTGAGTTCGATCCCCAGCCTGGGAGTGACCCACAGGGTGCAGCAGACCTCTCCTGACCCACCCGCTGCTCCCCTCAACAGTGTGTTTCTGCCTGTTCTGCTCCCCACTCTGTCTCTGGTGAATTCTCCCACCACCCCTGCACCTCTGGCCTGCACCCCAGCTCCTGAACACATAAATAAACTTTAACAAAGAAAGCTAAATAGCTTGACCTTTAAATCAGTTTTGGCTGGGGAGAATGTAATTCCCTACAAATCAAGGGGTGATTATGTTCAGGGTTTTGCCCCCCCAGGAAAATGTAGGGTGTGGAAAATGTGTGCTACTGGAAAGTTGCAAATGCCTTTCTCAACTGCTGTGAGCCAGCGCTTCCTGCTTTGGGAAATGCTGTTTCAGAGAACTGATTAAAAGCAGTGATTCACTGGGTTGGATTCACCTGAGCCACCTCCAGCCTCCCTCCTCCCGCCTCCCGCCTCCTTTGATCCTGGTCACATTCCTTTGCAGTGCTAATCCCTATTTCCCCAGAGCTCATTATCCTGAAAGGATGGAGGGGAGACTCTGACTCCTATTCGTATTCACTTCTCTGGGGATCAGTTTCCCACACTGTCAACTGAAGGTGTTGAATGTAAG